GGCTGAGCTTTCTGCAGCAAGATATTTAAATTATTTCATATAGATGACCTAAGCATTTTGTATTTCCACATTCTTCTTGGCATCTGAATAAGTTTAAGCTATTAAATCTTTTCTTCTGCGTGGAAAGAAATCAACCATTCAATACTGCTGATTTACATGCTGAATTGGTTACCTTCATTTCATATGGCGGCTGACAAAGTAATCGTGAAAAATCCAGTACTTTGGACCTTATTAGTAAGGCATGTTATCAGTAGTGTAACTTGCTCAAGTAGGCAGGGAAAGCCTTGCCTTCAGATTTTCAAGCTGTATAGAGAATCATACATTATTTGTCCTACAAAACGTATGTATTTTCATTTGAGAAGCAAACTTACGCAGTGCAACGAGCACAGCCCACTGTGTTCTCTATTGTAGCCTTGCAGCAAAGCCAGTTCCCATTCAGAAAAGCAGAAGGATGGTAAAAACTAAGCCTCTTCTGGTTGCATCTCGTTACCCGGCAAAGAGCTTCTATCCACTCACTAGCTTCTACACAGTTATTTGCTTGGATATAGAGCGGCTTTTCTCCATGTAGCACTTGAAACATCTGTAGAAGAAATGCAATATTATTCTGCTCAGTAACAAAAAAATCCAGTTATTGAGCAACTTTGAATATGTCAAAATAGATTTCAAACCTCAGGCAATTCAACAAAGCCAAATTAAGATAGAAAGTGAGAAAAGGGAGAAAAGACGGCTTTTCACCTCTTTCATTTTACTATGCAGCCCTATTTAGGAGAATTAAAAAAAAAAAAACAAAAAACACAAAAAAACCAAAACAGCTCCCTGTGATCCACCTACACCATGTCCTCATCCAAAAAAGAATCCTTAAAGAATTAGAACACAATGCATTTTCTGCCCTTCTCATTCAAATCTTTAAATGGGAACTTCATGCTTCACATCCTGACAGTAACAGAAGATTCCCAGAAGTTTCTCCTTTACCCATCCTCAGCCTAAGTAACAGCTGTACTTTTATCATAATTTTTGATGGAAATAACAACAGAAATACTAATTTGTTACCGGTCCAGAATGAGGCTTGTGAGCACAGAACACTGTCTCAGATGAAGGTACTGTAGGAAGTTCTCAACAAAAGGGATAAACTTAAGTTTGGTAATACTACATTTCTAGTAGAACATAATATAATACATGCTACTAATACCTCACGTAAAAGTGCTTTGTAATAAGGTCACAGTAGGTTTAACCTTTGTTCCAGGAATTTGGAAAGGGGGACAGAAGTCATAAAAAATCAGTCAGAAAAGTCGGCACAGAGATCCAAATATCAAGGTTAAGTTCCATGTTCAGAGTACTTGGAAATATTGCATACAGCTTTTTATTCCTGATCCAAAAAAGATTTTTTGCTGAAGTGTTTAGTAATAAGGTTTCAGTAACTCTACAAGCTAACTGTAATCTTTTATTTAAAGAACACATTGAGAATTACATATAAACTATCTTTTGACTCACGTTTTTCTTGTTGAAGGAGCTCTCATCAAGTTTCTCCACTGCAAGAATGTTTTTGATTGGAATAGTGAAAATTGGTTCTTTATCTGTAAAAGATTGTAAACAGATGAGTGAAACAATTTTTAAAAAGCTGTTTTATAACCCCGGTGCACTGATACTGTAGGTTAAGTTTTGAAAACATGCATTTTTATTATTGAGAAAATGTACATGAATCAGACAGAAGCATCTGATAGTCAGGGAAAAGGCAACTATAATGTATCATAGGTACTTCAGGAAAAGAAAAAATGTATGCATTTTAAAAAGCACAAATCAGATGCAAACATTTAGAAAATATTGAAAAAATAAAAATAATTGTAAAATAAACGTAATTTACCTTGTTGTTTGTGGTAGGTGAATTCTCTACTTGTTAGACAGAACCACCGCTTCTTGAAATTCTTTTTACCGATCCGAGTTCTTCCCTGAGCTCTTTTGTACATTTCTCTGTACAGACAGAATGAAATGAAATGCAACCATTAGTCTTCTGAAGAGCTTTCAAAACCATTTATTGAGATAACACATTATTGCTCATCATGAAGCAACATAAAAGTCTACTTCATTGTAGATTAAAAAAAAAAATTGACTAACTGTTCAAAATAGATCCTTCAAGAGTACCTCCCAAGAGGGTGATTACATACAGGGTTCCATAAACAGGAAAGGAATTTGAAAAATATGCAATCCAGACTCTTGTTTGTAGCAGTAAATTTGGAGTGGGTACTTACTTAGTCAGATTCAGAACTCCAAATTTTCCCAAAAGGGAGTAAGGTGTATCCAACTACAAGATGCTCTCCTTCCTGCCACTTTCTACATGTGAATGTACTTGGCCTTCTCTGGATCAGAAACTGAATACAAATGAAATGACGCCGAGCACGATTCAGTAGCAAGAGTAGACGAAAACTGTATTCAGTACACTTTAAGTGTACTCACTGGAAACTTTTTTTTTTTAGCAACAGCCTTCAATTTATAATTCAGATTAACTTCCAAATTGCTAGAACTAAGTGTTTATCCACTACAATTGTCTCCTTCATTTCTATTAAGTATTTTAATAAGAGATACATTTCTTCCTTGTTTGAAATTTGGATGCTTGTTTCACAGAAGAATCTTTACTTGCTACGAGTCTACTTCTTAGGTAAATACAAGTATTTTTTCCCCATAATTGTTGTTTGAATTAATTCATCAGCTGTACTTGATCAACATCCAAAAAAAGAGCTCATTTCTTAGAGTGATTTTCACCTCAATTTTTACAAGAGCATTCTATCATTTACTGTTAAGTATTCCAATTACAGGGTAATTTCCCCCCCTACTTTAGAGGCAGAACATTTCACTGGCTGGGCTTAAACGGCATGCAAATTAATTCTAAATTAAATCACTATGTTCTTTTAAAATAGACTTTCACAATCCTGAATAAACCATCGCAGAACATATACTGAATTGTAGCAGAAATGCAGCCAGCCTTTAATAGGTTTTAAGCTGCTTTTAATTATTTTTTCCAAAGTATTTAAAAGATGAGTTATGAAAGTTTACAGCTGTTGGTTTAAAATAATTTTGCAAATTAACAAAGAATTATCACAAACTACAAATACAATTTCTACAGTGTATCAAACATTTTAATGAGTATTAATCTGATGTTGGCATCAATGAAAAAACAGTAAAGTCAATTCTGCTTTGCACAATATAGACTCAAGATGTATTTACCCTTCTTTTAGATGTACTGGCTCACTCAGACCACTGGGCTCTTTACTTTCAGTGGAGGAAACATCATCTAGGAACTTAAGGAAAATACACAGGTAATACATACTATTCAGAAACACAGAACAACCAAAAGCTATTTTGGAAATATACATGTACAGTTTCTCCCAGAACAGAATAATCACTTTATGCAACAGATGAAATGAAAATACGTTGCAGGGACTTGGAACAATGTAAGAAGGTATGCCCATAAACACACAAGATTTCTTTAATTAAATTCCTAAACAGCAGATCTAATAAAGTCTGCTTAAAAAAATTTTTTTTTAAACTACATTAGCTTATTCCACTATGTATAACTATTGAGTATTCAATTGTGTGGATGTTTGGGGTTTTCTTTAAACATCTGAAATGGACCACAATTTTTCTTTTTCTCTTTAGCAAAAAAAATAAACAGTAACACCACATTCTAATAATTAAGACTGATCAGATACGTCAATCATAAAAAAAAAAAAAAAAAAATCTAGTCAAAAGGTACCTTTTTAACAGATTCAGTAAATTTTTCTTCTTGAAATGTTTTGAAAAACTCGCACATAAACATCTCCTTGAAACTTGACTGAAAGAAAAAGTATATTGACATAAATAAACTTTCAAAGAATGTTGTCTATGAAATGAGAAAGAATTTTAACAGCCTTACAAGTTTGCTTTTGGTCAAACTTCCCCAACTCCCCAAAGTCTGGATGGCTTTTGATATAAGAGTTAATGTTCTAGAAGTCTGTGCATCCTAAAATAAAGAAACAGAATTCAGAGTTTTACAATTCCACGTAAAACCTTGATTTAAAAATTAAAATGTCACAGAAATTATTGTATTACACAATGTAGTAAGTCTGACACATCTTCATTCCTTTTCTTCTTTGCCCATGGAGGAGAAATGCATGTGCAGTACTGTCCTCTATTAGCACCTGTACTTTGTGAATATATGTATATTTTATAAGCTACTACACAGTGTTTAATATTTTACTCACTACCACTAGAATTTTAGTACTTGGAAAAATATTTTTACATATGAAACATCTCAGACACCTCAAATCATGTAATTGTTACTATACATCTAATGCTTCTGAACTATTCAAAACTTAACACTAAACGTAATGGAAGTATTGCTGAACAAACGGTAGAAATTTTCGTAACACAAAGTGAACTTAAAACTTTGTCTTTAAGGCTTTTGCCTAATTTGTTTGCTACCTCACTGCTTGCATTTTACTACAGGATTATAAACACAGCCACAGAAAGAGGCCTTGCTGCTCCCTTTAAAATGTTTAATCCTCAAGTGATAAAATCCTGTGATCTTTTTACTCAACAAACTGGATAACATCAAAGGAATGAATTTGAGTTAAGATTTTTTTCTTTAGAAAAGCACAACACAAATTAACATAAGCTAATGAAGATAACCTCTGGAGCAGATTATTTCGTGCATATTCTGTATTTTATGTGAAAATACAGTATTTTCTTCTTATCTCCATATTCCTGTCTTTGAAGATTTTTTTTTTTTTATGCCTATCTACTTGACAATTTCAAAATGGAAGATTTGGCAACCCACTGCAACTAGTGGTGTCTAGAATAAGTACGCAAACCAACCATTGGATAACTCTACAACCTCTGTTTAAGACACAAATGGAATTTTTTTTTTTTTTAGAAGTGACATCTGGATATTTAACTTCCATGGTGGAAGGAACCAAAGCAGTTTAGGCATATGCCTTAAAGACCCCTCAGTCATGTCTATTCTAACACAGCAGCACATTCCCAAAAAAGGCACAATGTCTTTAATATCAATAGCTGTTGTACATCATTTGATAACACCTCATAAAGACTGAGAAATTTGATGTTTAAAGAACTTTAAATGTCTTAGTTCCTCTGGTGAGGTATAAAATTGAAACCTCAACCTAGAGACATTTAATAATTTTATTTCCCAGTCACAGACCCGCTGAAAGTAACTTACGCCTTCCCAGATAAACAGATCTGACTGTTATGAATAAAACAGAACAAAGCTTCACGAAACTTACTGGATGATGAGGTCGTAAATGAAAAGTATGAGGTGAGACTACGGCTACAGCAAAGAAACGAAGAAACACAAAGCTGCTCACTGCAGAATACTGTACATGAGGGTCATCTGCAGAGAAAAACCATGAAATGTAACATGCACTAAGCTTAATAGGAAATAATGAAGACAGTCAACATAAAAATCCTTAAGAAGATAACATCAGAGGAGACATTTGTATTTTAAAACAGAATAGAAAAATCAATGAAGTGCATGAAATGAGGAAGGTGATCATGGTAAGAAATATTCTACTTATAATGGAAGGTTTAATTCTCTGAAAAGAAGTTCTGTTCTCATAAAACTGGCTCATCAGCTCCACTAATAGGAATGATAAGATTATTGCAAGCATTTACACACAGTGTTGATTATGTACAGCTGTATGCACGTTGAACCGAAAGAGAAAATACTGTAGCAGTTGCCTTTAAACACTGGGGCCATGAGGTTTATTCACCCGTAAAGCTAATCATTGATCAACTAAAACATATTAATGCTGCACAACAAATGCAGTCAACACATATGAACAACTTCAACTCCAATTCTGAGCTGCATTATAAAATCATGGTGCTCTATAATTTGATTGCTGTAAATGAGGATTTTCTCATTTAATATTTTGGGTATATTTACCACCTTTACACTGGGAAATATAGTGGGATCACATCTTTACTCTAATGACCACCTCAATCTGACCTGCCTGGGAAGTTAGCTATTCTGAAAGGACTACCTTAACTAGAGGTATTTATGGCATCAGTTCCAGTGACAAACATGAATCAGAGAAAGGTTCCAGATTACGAGAGGTATATTCTTCCTTTGTAGCTATATGACATTTTAGATTTTAATTGACTGAAGTATAAGAGTATTTCAGACCTACCACATTATTCCTATATTTAAAGCACTCTGAAAGAATGAAACTATTCTAATACTGGTCACATTAGAAACACATTATATATTTTATATTAACCATCCTCCCCAAAACTCCCCATAAATAGTAAAGCTGGACAGAAGTTATGAATGTGCTAGTCATAGTTAACACGTTGCAATTCATGTAGGTAAGATGTAAATACTGAATTTGTTTTCAAGTTTACACCTTGCTTCTAAAGAAGCAATAAACAGATCAGCTCTTCAAAATTTTACATATCTTTCAACTAAAACACGTCCTGTATTACTTGTACTTCTAGTATCTCCTATTTTTGTTGGTGACTTATTTGACTGTCTTGCAGTGTTTCTGACCCACTACGTTTTTGTATCAGAAAATACAAAATTCTTGCTGATTGACTACAAGGCTTTACTCTAACTTACAGATTGACAGAAAAACAAATGCCTAATCGTCAAGGTAAGAAGTTCAGGGGACAGCTTTGGACAAGCAAGAATTTTAACAAGTCCCATAAGGCAACTGCAGAAGTACTTCACTCCAAACACCATTTTCACAAGTTTTTAGAGAACACTTACTTGGAAATCTTTTGGCAGCCAGATGCCTCAAAGAATAAAAAACATCACACATTAGGGTAGGACAACTTATACTTGACCGCACAATTTCACGGAATACTTTGTCTACATAATAGCGTAGATTTTCCTGTAATTACGAAAAAAGGTATTTTTTCAGACCATTAACAGGCATATTTCTATGGTTTTTTTCCTGAACACAAACATAACACTAATTCCTTTTTTCAAAACACTGCCTGACTATTCAATTATGTATTTGAGTACAGTGCATATTTTAAAAGCCTCATAATATTTATATGGGATTAGCAGTGTTAAAAGATAGTTTAATGATATTCACTTAAATCAAAGTATATAAGCAGTGTCTGGCAATATACAACTACCTATCTAAACCCATTTTTGCAAATTGACAACAACTTGTTACAGGGAAGGAGCACCTCCCATGGATACTTAGTGAATATTAATTTATTTTGTTGCAGCTACTATTGCCTTAAATGTCATTCTCTGGTAACAGGCAAGCAGCAAGCAAAACTTTGATGACAAGTGTTAAAGCAGTCCTAATAAGCTACTTCATCATCTAGATGCTGAGTACAAAACATCAGGAATCATAACACCCAATAAATCAGTAAGGAAGACTGTAATCCTCTGTTTAGTTTCTCCTCCCTGTCCCATTTTCCACTGGACTTTTCCTTTGCTGTTTTTGTAAACAGCAATAAGAAAATACAACTTTTTCTTTGTTTACTCTGAAATCAGAGAATTATACTGCTACCGTGAGCTACTCCTTTTCCATTACACAGAGCTGCTCTTAAAAATGTTTTTCTATCAGATTTTGAGAAAGTTTAACTTAGAAAAAACAGATTAGGAAACTCACCATATTCATGTCTACATTATCCCCTTCTCTTAATTTGACAGGATCTATTTCACAGGGTTTAGGAGACTCACATATCTGAAACAAACAAACAAAACTTTAGGAGTTCAATTTTTCAGACAGAAAGCATAGAAATGCACCTATTCAAAATCAGATTCTGTCCTAGATTTAGAGGTAAAACTCTAAATAGGTTCTAATGATCCCTAACATCATGCAATTATCATCCTCACTTTTGTGTGTACCTTTTTACATGGATCAGTTACATAAAGCATCATATGGGTAAATTCTGCAATGTGTTAGAGAGGCTGGAGCAACCATCACTGACTTTATTTTCAAGCATCTGGAACATAAATAACAAAAAGCAGCTCCCCCCACTAAACCAATTATTGCTCAGTTTAACTTTCCTCTAGAATTCCAACTGAGCGATTACTACCACAAGGGGAGCTGTAAGAAGAATGCCAACCAAAGACACAGGATACCCCAGGGGGCTAAGTGTCCTGAAAACAGTTTCAGTAGGATAACCTACCTCATCAATAACAGGTTTCAAAGTAACCTTTAGGTAGTGCTTCCCCACTATTTTCATCATTTCATCTACACACCGAGTTGCTAAGGAGTTGCCTCTGAAGACTGTGTTTGCTTCTCTGTAACAAAAGAATTCCTCTTATTTGAACAGGAAAAAATAAGCTCAGTTACTAAATCAGATTAATACTTTATCTTGCTATTCCTTAATTTTTTGAAAACATTTTGTCATATATTTCCATCAGGAATTCCAGAATCTAGATACGCAGCTTGCAATGAACTCAGAAAAAGAAAGAATAAACAAGAATATTATTACAGCTATTACCAAAACCAGGAACATAAATAAAACCATAAGGAAAAGCCCAAGACATTTTAGACAAAGGAAGTTCTAATCCAGTGCTGAATGTGAAAAAGAACAAATGGAGAGAATTAAAAAAATAATGAAGACTTGTACCTCACTAATAAACAATTCTTCCTCCAGTAGTCCTGAAAAAAAATCTTAGACCTACAATTAATAGCATACTGCTACACTACACTGAAACACAGACACTTTAACCAAAACATATTTAATGTAGGGTTATGCTTTTTATTCATTACAGCTGTTGAAAAAAACTGAAAGCCAGCTGTGCAAAATAAATCCTTCTAATCCGAGAGACTTAGTTTAATCTTTCTTTGTTACAGTTCAATTATAACAGAAAGGAATGTGTGTACTAAAATGCAGTTGAGAAAATTATTTTCCATGAGTCACCTCTTTCTACACAGTTAAAATTGTATTACCTTACTTAAATCTGGAAAAAGTCAGCTTTGAAATGAACCACTCTGTGGTGACAAAATCCCTTACACATCTCCACAGGACATGACTCGGCACCTCAGTGGCCACTACTCATTTCGTTTCTCACCTAACCACAGAGCTGCAAACTCACAGGCCATACACTGCTACTTGGAACAACTCCTGTGCTTGCTACTTCCAAGGCATGCAGGAGGACATGCACCTACTCACAAGGCATCTTTCCAGAAAAAGAGTACCCCTCATTTAAGTTCACATACTAAAGGAAAAGGGGTAAGATTCTCAGCAATTTTAAAAATGTGAAGTACCCATCTAATGACCAGTAAAATTTGAAGTGGCCAAATTATGACATTTTAAAATAAAAACGATGCGCTCTTAGACACAACTCTAGACTGCTAGCTTGCTATGTTTGGCTGCACACTAGCTCGCTATGTTTGGCTGCACACTAGCTCCAAGAAAATTTTACCAAATAGGACACAATCATTAACTCTGACTCCCAGCTTTAATGTGATTTTAATGAATGTTTTTATAAACTAGCATTAAAAGATGAATGTATTTAGTCAGTCTTACATAATGAAAGAAATTCAACATGCTTACTTATCAATGTTGTATCATGAAGCCCTCTGAAACTCTAAGAAGAATTTTAAAAGGCATGACATCACTAAACATGAAATACATACTGTGTGTCCTTCAGATCTAGTTCTGCCACTGCAGCAACAAACGGAACTAGCTTATGGTGGTGTAGCAATAATCGTACAAGAGGCAGAACAGCATCATACTTGTCTCGACAAACTTCACTCAGAATGTAGGCAGCAGATGCAGAAATCGGCTGTGAGAAAGCAGAATATGAAATCATGAGTGTACTATTTAAATGTTCTTCATCTATTTGGCAAAGTACAGAACAAACCTAACAAGACTATAGACATAACTTCTTAAAAGGAAGTTCCAACATTTGCTGTATAACATGGCAATTAAAGTTTCCATTCTACAGACATACTTACCTGAAAATTGGTATTATCTACTCTATACTTAAGAATGAAATTCAGCATCTACTCACCCTTCTTATTCTCCCTGAAGGGTTAGACTATGGCTTTGTCACAAATCCACGTAAGAGGCAGTAAGCAATTGCTTTGCTATAATGTCATAGATCTTTATAGGACTTTTTAAACTATAATCAGAGCGCATTAAAATTCATAGTTCTCACACTTCTAAAGTGTCTGTTGCCATTCTACGGTTGGGAATTTCAATACAAAACCTGATCAAGTTATTTCATTTAGGTAAAGAAGACAGCTGCTGCCTGCGGCTACCTTCATACTCAGTGCTTTCTGAATTCCAGTGAAGTAGTATTTGAATACAGGCTACCAAAAATTTTAGTCATAATCTGCTTCCTCTTTACCTTTCTTCTCCTCTGCCAGTACTTCACCAACACTGAAGTGAAGAAAGGCTACAAAAGACCTAGGAATATAAAGCCTGGTTACTATAACTTGATTCCCACCTCAATGCTATGCTAACCATCTACTACACTCCCCTCTTCATCACCACGTCCATGTGAGAAATACAGTCATGCTGATTACCATACTGGGGAAGACAGAAGCAATTGAGTAGTGGAATTAGTAATCAGTTCTGAAGCAGCCCACTTCTGGTAAAGGTGGTGCCCCTTCAGTGCCAACAGTGCCCTGGAAAACCACTAAATCCAGTGGGCCAACAGCCAGTGGGAAAAGACAATGCTGAAAAGAGCAACCAGGAAGAAGAAAGTATTTTATCTCTTCCACTCATACAGCACAGGTTATTTTATTGTCTCTGCTGGTTCTTCTAAAATAAGAAGAAAATCTTGGTAGTTTGGAGCAGAATTAAACACCCTACAAGCTGCTCATCTGATTGTGATAGAAGTAATTCATGCAAAGGAACAAAAAAATTCTCTAAATAGGCATAATTCACAGTCTCATATAGGAATGCATAATTCATTTAGAAAGAAATTTTCAACAGAAGTACCTGAACATCTGGTGATTTTAGCAGCAAGTTTCTTAGAGAAGTGTAGTATTCAGAAGGAAGTACACAGTCTTCAGTATAACAGATATTTAATCTAAGTGATCCCAGATCATCAGTTTTAGAAGACTTGTTTCCATTTTCTCTTGGTTGAAGTAAGTACCTGAAAGCAACAGGGCAATTCTAAAATATTAGATTCACATTTAATTAATTAGACTAATTCTACAATAAAGCAAAGTATCATATTTAATTATTTTATTATACATAAACTGAGTCTGAAAACTGGCAATAAAATTCACATAAAAAAAACTTGAGAGACAAAAGAAAAAAAAAGGAGCAGCATTTGATGCACCTTTAGCATATAATAAAACACGTTTATTTTCTCTTATCTTTCCAAACAGTGAAATAGGATATACTTCTTGTAACCCAACCAGGATAGCAGGATAGTTAAAAATGATGTTGGACCTGCTCACTTTACATTTAGGTTATACTTAGGGTGTTGGACACTGCAGATGGAACAGCTAGTGTCAAGAACTTAAATGGTCTAGCCTGAAATCAGTAAAAATACATAATATTAACAGGCTGCGTTCTTGAGAAACAAGTAAGATTAAAGGAAAAAAACTGTGCTTTTTTTCCTACTCTCAATACAAAATATATTAACCAATTCTTCATTGGCATTTGCTGTAGTTCAACTGTATTCCAACAGGAGGTGCAGCCCTACAAAAAATTTAACAGCGTTTAAGTAGTGTCACAATACAGTTTCAACATTCAGCCCAACAAACTGGAATTGTATCTTCAAATATTCTTTTGTAGTCATTTATATTTGTACTTCAACAATCAGGAGATCAGTCTTTTTTTCATAATCAGACGCATTGCCCATGAAGGCACGCTAATAACAAAGTAAAACCAATTTACAAGGAGAACTTCTACTTGACAGCATGACTCTTAGACTTATTTTCCCAATTTTTAGTACTAGCGATACTGTTTTATCTGCTGCATTTCAGATATATTAAAAAATATTTTATGTAAATTAGTAATAGTATTAAAAAAGTAAGTTATTTTTAATGACAGAACTGTTTTTGAAAAACAGATCATAACTGGATATGAGGATGTTCAATACAAGGTATGCCTACAAAGTATATTAGCAGACACAAACCTCTCTATCTATGCTTCAAGTGAACTGGACATGAGTCACGTCAATTCATGAAGCTAAACACACACAATACAGTGGTCAGTGGTAATGAGCCCATGCTAATATAACCCTCTCTTAGCAGGCTGTTAACGGAGGCTTGTCACTGTGTTAATACGGTCATACAGCTTTTGATCAGTTCAGAGCCCTGGCAGAACAAACCTCTGTCTGCAATACACCATGTAAAAAATTGAAAATAATGACACAAACTGTTATGTTTAAGATCACATTCAAACACTAAGACTAAGAATTCAACTTTGACATGTCCAAGACACTTAGAGCCTGAAGTGGATATGTGGAGCAGAGCCATAATGATTCCTGGCCAAGACCTGTGTTCCACTTAGTTCCTATTTACCCAACTAGAAACAGAATATTCTACACACTTTGAAGCATTTGAATTTATTGTACTCATCACTTCTTGCTGCTAAGCATTTGGGACAGTGAAGGGGCTAGAGATTGACTCCTGCTTGCAAGAGCTTCAGAAGGAAGGTTGCTGCTCTTATAAGCAGAGGTCTGTCTTTTCCGAATTCCCTTCATACCTTACACTTCCAGCTTTTAAACTGCTGTGCCTGCTCCCCTGAAATGACAATGGGTTGGTTCCAGAAGATACTTTCTGAACCTCCCCAAAGGAGGCGGGGGGGGAGGGGGGAGGAGCAGCACCATACTTTATTATTATTAACTGAACTCTTCATCAGTCATTCTGGAAGTCTGGGTTTGGAATTTAATTACAAGCGATACAATTCTGAGAAGTTCCAGGTTTGCTGGTTAGGCTGACAAGTATACACAGATCACTAAAATACAGCAAGCTGACTGAAAGATAGTTATGCTCAGTTTTCCTTTTCTTCAGTCTCTACATTTTCCCCTCAAATGCATGAACTATTCCATGGGAGCAGGCAGACTGGGGGAAGAGAAAAGCTAAATGTACCCTCTGGCAAGGTTAATTTATTGAGCAGGGAAACTCTCTAGAAAGATGTTTTACCTAGACTAGACCAGGAAGACATATTTTAATGGATAGTTACAATAAAACATATCCTTTGCACGGGAAGACCTGCAAGACAGAAGCAAATTCACTTCTGAGCCACCATTTCTCACCATGCTTGAAAGGAATCATTTCTTAACACCTTCACAGGAACTTTAATTTCTCCCAGAAAGACATCTTGTACCAAGTTTCCATTATTCCATAGGTCAACCCTGAAAATAAGAACATTGCTTAATTTTTTTTCTCCCAGAGAGAAATAAAAATCTTCAAGTTAACAGTAACTGCCTTACAGCACTAATCCACATGCATGCAGGCAGGAAAATGTTAGAAATTTCACTCCATTCTAATTAAATCAAGAAGAACCAAACGAGTGGCTTATTAACCCATAAAGAACAGATAAAGAAACAAACAGTGAGTTAGACTCGCAGACCTTGCATCAGTAAATGAAAGTGATATTGGCAACATATATGTTTTCTGAGCAGTCTCCACCCCCAAAACTGTGCACATTTCTTCTCAGGTAATTCAAGTGAACTTTTAAACCAATATATTCACATATCCCTATTTAATTGCTAAAATTTGGCACACTGCAATGCCACACCAACACATGCGCTTGTTTTCCAAAGAGCAGCTTGTATGCTTACAACCTCAAAAGGTATCACAGACTCCAGACATGCACCTTGGGTTTTTTTCTATTACTTCTTACCTCTCTGACATTTCTGACAGACAGCAGTTGTTAAGAAGAACAAAAAAAATTAATACTAGATTTGTTGGGGCACAACTATTTTTCTAAATATGTTTGCAGCTATAATGAAATACATAATTCTAATTAAGGTATTCATGAAGCTAATAGTTAAAAATGCACATACAAATTTAGTTCTATAACAGCTCTTAAAACTAACCACTAAATTCTTCTTCTGATGCCTGTTAGGAAACATGCTAGCCTTGAAGACTTTTTGCCATTGAGCAGATTTGGTGCATGTATGCGCACGAGCACAATAAAGAAAAAAAACCGACGACAGGGGCTCTTAACTGTTTTAACTACATATCACAAATACAAACAGACCTGCTCTAAGAGTAATGGAGCAGAAAAGGGGAACATACTTTAAAGTATTCCTTGTATTTGCAATGAAGGGATGCAACACAAATACTCCTCTAAGAAGTAATGCAAAACTATAAGAATCTCATAAGGGGCTTCTACCTCTGTTTTTATTACAACAGCCAACTACATTTGAAACCACAGACTATATGGCTTAGTATATTACATACTATGAAATAATAGTATATGAAATACTATGAAACCATACTATCATGCAGTACAAGTTCTATTACCAATATTCTGCCCAGACTAATATATATTGATATAGGAGGTCCTCACACCTTCTTACTCACAGGCACAGGAAACAAGTTTAGGCTGCTAGATAGACTCTACCACTATTTGCTTAAAAACAAAATTCCTTATCTTCAGTAAGAAACACACCTAAAAATTTGAGTAGTTTTATATATTAGGAGGATCTTTTCTACAAGTTTCATCAGTAATTCTCTGGAGTTACACTAAAATAAAACCTTTCTTTATTATCTTGGTGATAAAATATTATGGTCTATTAATAATAAATCACTTTCTAATCTACATAACTTACCTGACTTCTAGTTTCTCAATATCTTCTTCTTCCACCTGAAACTGGGACTTTTTGGTGTAACTGCTGGACCTGGTTACCTGCAAGTAAATTCCTCCTATTAACACACTTTTTACTTTTGTATTATGAATGTCAAAACCCAAAGAAAACCCTGCCTCTTTAACACTGGTAAATAGTTACGGTTCCTTTTAAAAAGGAAAAAGTTCCCTTCACCAAACAAACTGCCTTTTGACAGAAAGCAGGTGAAAAATGGGTCAAGAAGGTATCAGCTCCGCCATGAACACTAAGGGAATTATAGTATAGATCTATTAGAAAAAAACAAGGAGAAAGCATGGCATGAAACTGGCAAGAACTTCTTTGGTTTCAGCATGAGCCCCAAGAAAGCATTAAAGTTAGTTCTGAGATGTTTAAGGAAAGAACAAATAAGAAGGCCACTCTTCTTGCCCTAGTTTTACCACAACTGTAACCTCTTATTTTAATTTTCCTAATTTCTTGACTGATTGCATGCTTAGTTTAACTCCAATAAGTCCTAAGTCATAAAGTTATCTGAGCAATTTGGAACACATTTTTATCCTAGTATCTCACTTTCTAAGAAATTACATTCATTATTTTGAGCACGTCAACTGAAACACACGCCATACATTGATACTCTATAAGTATGGAACAATTTCTCAGTGAAGTCCCACAGCAGGACCAGGGTCTACATCAACACAGTACATTACAATACATTTAAGGCACATGTAATAGTTGTACTACTTCCACCTCTCAGCTGAACAGTATAGTATGCTTAAATGCAAATGTAGTTTTTATTACAGAGCCAAATCAGATGAAAATTAAAACTCCTAATTTGGTTATTACAGGGTAATTCACATAGAATTGAAATCTAATCCTAAATAACCAAGAAGTTAACTTTTTTTAAAATAAAATCATAAAATTAGCCTTTTTGGGGTATAATTGCTACATTGTTTTATAAAAGAAATAAGGGGGGGGGGGGATGATGTTGGCTCAATGTTCTTGAAAAACATTTAAATTGAATTCCACAGGATAGGTTAAAGTTTTCTCAGAACTCCTGACGGCAACAGACGCTATATAAAGTGATTCAAGGTAATGAATTACCTTGAGATATGTGCTTGTGAGGAAGTAATTTTTCACATAGCAATTGAAGGGGAATACTGTCTGGCAGCCCCCATAAATTTGTCATTTACTCACAGTTGAGAGGCTAGTAAAAGCTCTTCAATTTGCTTGAAGAGACCCTTCTGTGTTAGGTACTGCTATACAGGTTGCTTAAAAATATTTGAAGCATTGCATAAAATAGATAAACAGGCAGAATACCACACAAAAAGTTACCTCAAAATAAAATGTTTCGTTAAACTGCGGATTGCTTGTTTTCTTCTTTACTTTGGTCTTCTTTTGGTCATTCCTGTTCCAATGTGGTAAAATTTTTACCATAGACAACTTAAACACACAATTTTAAAGACATTCTACTGTCAAGAAGGACCCATGCATTTAAGTTAAAACATTTTTTGTCATTTGAGAGATCACTTTGATCAATGAAGAAAATCTTAAAATAAAATTAGTTCATCTTCACAATACAGTTTGGGAAGTTAGTTTCAAGTGCTGTATCTAGTTAATCATGCAAAGTTTGTATTTCATTTCACAAATGAGTATAATTTACACACATCAAGTAAAATGTATCAACAATTTTCTAAAGCATTTAAAACTTAAGTCTGCAGACAATTTCTTTACTATTGCTTGCAGCTTACAATCATAGTTTTCCTCATTTTGTTCAGCTGCCAATTTCTGGTTTTCCTACCCTCTTTTCTCGGGGAAATACCCACTACCTTCTTTACAGACAGAGGCTTACACCAAACCTCCGAATGTTTCCTTCGGAAGGAATTGCTGCTAATACTAGATGCTAAATAGCATAGGGTCAAAAAACCCAATTGCTCCCCACTCCCTTGTGTTTTATATAAGTGTTTTTAAAATTTCACACATTTTATGAAAAAAGAGTACACTCTTATTTAGTTAGTAAAGGGCTATGATAGTATAATAATGCTTTCTAAAAGAAACAAGTATAAAACGTGGGGGGAAAACAGACGAGGGAGAACAAAAATTGTCCTAGACTAACTATTTTCAGGCGCTGGCCATGTAAATATTCCAGTCATGGTACATGAGTCACACATGTGTGAGATTGGAAAATCTTAACAAGGAATTTCTGTCAGATTTGCACATATATTCCCATACCAACAGGGTAAATATTGTGTGGGACCAACATTCGCCCAGTTCCATCTGTATCACAGGACTCAAACAGGAAACGTATGTCAATTTACCTTCTTTGGCAAGTAAGACCATGCCTTCTAGGTATAATGGTTGAATCTCCCTAGTCCTGTTAAAAAAAACCCCAACTAACCAAACCAAAAGAAAAAAAAAAACCACCCACCAAAAAAACACCAACCCAAACCTAAAAAAAACGTGATCATGTATTACCAAGGAGGAAGAAATGCCCCATTCATTCAGAGCTTACTCAGGGACAATCCTTCCAAATTCTTTAAAACGCACAAGTTGTTCTGATACTAAACTCATGGTGGCACCAGAAAAAGCAGATGAACTGAGGTTTGATGTTGCAAAAAAGAAACAACTGAAACCTAGCTTACTTTAGATGCTACTGGGCAGGGACTTGTGGATAGTGAATGTGTGGGATATGGGGTTTTTCATTTAAGAAAGACCCCAACAGTTATTCAGGATTACTGATCCAAAAAAAGGAAGCATTTAAACTGTGGGGACTTTTAGTAGCATCCTGAAGGTGCCGGCATTAGAAAGGTCTCACCAGAACCTCTACTCTCTTGCTTCCTCCCAGTTGCTACACGTTTACTGCAAAGAAACTCACACATTATGAAGAACAGGGAACAGAGGAAGACGGGTGAGCAACTGACTGTATCATCCCATATAGGAATTTGACAAAAATGAATAGGAAGTACAGTGCAGATATCAAGAATCCAGTACAAAACCTGAGAAGAAAGAATGAACCAAGTGACAAGTGGTTCATGACTAGTGCAGGCCATTCACACAGACCAAACACCTTCACAATCTTGAGAGTATGGTAGGGAAGGGGACAGTACAGTACCAATGGAAGACGTGATATACGCATAAAGCATTTTAAGATTGTTCTATATTTTGAAGATTTTGTTTAAAACCTATGACTTTCTTTTCCAGTTTAAGATCACAGCATTTTGGATTCATTCATTTCATACTGAAATCTTACCTGGAAGGCCCCACAAGAGAGACTGTTGCGTAAGCGTCACAATTCTGTCCATTTATAAGAGGCAACCCATGGCACTCCTTTATGCTACAAGGAAAAGGCAATCAATAGATCAGTGAAGCCATGTCTTTAGCTTAAAAAAATAAAACCCAAACAATCCTTTATTTTTAATGATTTTTTTTTTAAAGTCCTGCTGTATTACACACGGATATATACAGCGATCCAATATAACGTACGTACATGAAGTAGATTGTAACTACAGATCTCTGGATGGTAATACACGGTAATACTCAAGCGTACAGTCAGACTTAGGGGGGCTCTGTGGGAACAAAATTCTTGGAAGTGCTTCAATAAAGAACATGCATGGCAAAATCCTAAGTAAAATTAACTGCTATGTTAGGGAAAACTGCAGACTTTAACTTTTAAATTTGATTTCTCAAGGCCCACAAAAAGTTATTTGGCCTCATTCGCGTGGCAGCGACTACATTTGGAAGGCATAAAATGGATTTAAATATTTTATTTTGGCTAAACTACATTCTGAGTTGAGTAAGCAGAGAAATGCAAATTCATATCCTGAAATATAATTTAAAATTAAGCATCCAAATCTATTAGTATATAGCCCTAGCATGTCTTGGTTCCAACCATACTATTCGGCCACAAATTGAAAATCATTTTACCTTTGAAATAGTGTTTAAAGTTGATTTTCACTCTTTTCACAATAGTGCATGATCAGGGCTTAACAGCCCTCTTAAAAATACTGTTTTCTTCCATAATACTACAGTAAGTTGTAAGCTGGTGTTTAACAGGTATATGCACGCTGTTCACCACTCCAGATGCAAAAGGGACGGGATGGTTAGAAAGTAATGGTCATGGGGACAGAGACACATTTTCTGGACCTTTTCTGAAAGCTTTTTGAATCATCACAGCAGCCATACTACTAGAAACAGAGCTGGGTCAGCAAGCTGACTAACCTTCAGATGCTGCCCACATCTGAGTATTAATTAAAAACAGCTGGAACAACAAAAGTAAAGCAAAACAGTTTGTAAATTTACAGCAGAAAACAGACTTTCTAGCAAAATGATGCTCTAATGTAGCCATGCACAGTGTAGTATTTATTAAGTCCAGAAACATTCAGCAGATTACAAAATTTAATAAACAAGACACAAATGAGACCTGAACGTTATATTCCTGCTCTTTCTCTTTAAAATAATTTATTTTTAAAATAATGTATTGCAGGAATTTAAATGAATGCAAGAAAGCTTCGGTTGCCATAATTAGCCAGCTTGAGTAAAATCCAAAACCTATGTAACTTAAGGAGAAAATAGACCTTTCTGTTCTAAGTTCACATAAATAACCGAGTAAATGTTCTAATACTATAATGTGGAATAGTAAGTTGTGCAGATCAAGTTAAAGTTACATAGCAGCAACAGTAAGTACACACTGTTGTTAAGTAAATGCTTTCTGTACCGTAGAAAAACAGCGTTAAAAGAATAACAAGACTTGCAAACTCAAACACTCGCAAATGAGGAAACAACAGACACTGACACTCCTGTGCTGCCTCAAAACTCCACCCTTTTTGGAGTATGCACCATTATACACCAGATGGTATTTCCCCCCCCCCCCCCAAAGTCCCTTTGTCTTAGCCAGTTCAGGGAACATTTAGTGCTGAACCACTACACAATCATTTGTTATTTTTCTTCCAGTTTTCAAGCACATGGCCTTCAGCATTTCAATAATTTTTGAATCACAATGAACCCTACAGTGATTTCAAGCCCACCATTTAAATGGATTCTTGAAACATCCAGTTGTTTCATAAGCATTAATTGATTCCTCCTCCAACACATACGTGACATAGAAGAGTGGAGACAAAATTAAACTGTCTAGACTTTTCAGTCATTTGGGGTACCTGATTTGAGGCAGCTAGGGCTTGATTCTTTCAGGCTATCAGGCATTTTGTAGCGCTAAACATACTGTCTCTGCAGCTCCCAGAGATTTTCGGTTTCAAGTGCGAGTGCTGAGTGTACCTCTAAGTTAGCCTCAACTTGAATCACATAGGAAACTTGTAGCAGATGGATAAAGTCAAACTTATCTGGATAGAATTTACATTAACAACACAATTTCTTTTCCTACAGCCTGTATCATGTTCACTAAGCTCCTGGAT